GCTCAGGTTGGGCGGGTGGGTCGGGTCCGACGGGTTTATGTTCACCCATAGAAACGATGTTATAAAAAATAAACAGTTAAAATTTTAGTAGTAATATGCCTATTTTGAATATTTAGCTTATATGTGATATTGTTTGGGGTTTATTGTATTTACCACCCATGTGTTTACTCTTATTGGTAAAAAAATCCCCATGGTATAAATATTATAAAAAAAAAAGTTGTAATTCAATTTTATAAGTAATCTAATTGAAACATATTATTCAGGAGTGATAGGGGCCAATTCTGCTTGGGCCTAGATAATTATACTTTAGGCTTGTGAGTCTATGGACCTCCGGAATAACAAGGTTCCAGAAGAGGGAATCTACTTAAAAACAAACAAGACGGCTGGGAAAAGATGTCGATAATAAAGCATTAGGGTCCATTTGATATACACCCCTCATATGGAAAATATATAAGTATAGGTCCACCCCTAAATTTTTTCCTTAGAGATACCATTGGGAGGCAAAAGTACTATTGTGCTCTTATGTTCAATTTTCACCCAATTGCATTCAAAATTTTGATCAACTATATTTAACATTTTGGACATGCATTATTTTTTTTACTGCATATTGTGATTTTTAATTTTAATAATTTTTTTCTTCATGTATATATTGTATCATTTTTTATTATTATTGTATTCTTTTATATTTTTTTTAATATTTTTTTTTTAATTTGTTTAATTTTTTATTTTTTATTTTTTTTAATTTTCACTTTTTTTTATTTTTTTTTTAATTTTATAATTTTTTTTATTTTTTTTATTAATTCCAATTTTGGTAAAATTACTGTACTAAAAGTATACATATGACTACAGTGTACTACCAAGTTCAATAGTCATGTATAGTTATATGTAATCATGTACTGTCTTTTTACCCCAAAATTCATCTACACCTACAAAAAAAATCATAATTGTGGATCTTGATATTATAAATCAACTAACAAACAAAAAATGAAAAAACATAATGACATGCATATATTTTTCAAACATGAACAAGCATTACTATACATTAAAAAACCTATAGCATACATATAACTATATGTTACTACATGTGACTATAGTTATCTACAATTATCTATAGTTATATATAGTGACATAAATTCTAGACTACTGTAGCATGAATCCAACTTCACAAGGCACTTCACTGCATCTTATTCTCTGCATCTCATAAAATTATAATAAAAGCAAAACTTGCGATAAAAAAAATACGAGTTAAAGAGCAAAATGAAACATGTGAGTAAGATTACATGAAAAATACAAAAAAAATCATGAATTTGTTTTTTTTTTTTTTGATAAATTTGCTGTACTGAAATCGAATACAAATGACTATAGCATACTACAAGTTCTATAATCATATATAGATATGTAGCCATGACTACATATAGTATATTCACCTGACCCAAATCATCCATCTAAGTAAGCACTACTGATTAAGTTTCTACTGCAGACAAACAAAGCTCTCACACTTGAGGCATTTCGGATCATCTTCAAATAAATACAAAAAATAAATTACATATGATTTATAACAAAAATGAACAAGATAAGAATCAAACAAAATAAAAAATCAAATTAATCCAAAGAAAAATATTTTAATATTAATTGTTCACAGATCTTCAAAAACATAGACCTGGGTCTTTTTATAAAAATACAGTAAATATATACAAATCAAACACCACCGGTTCCTGATCTAGAATTCACCATTAGATCTAACTACACATAGTCGGATCACGATTTTGAAATTTTCGAATTCAGTTGGTTTTCATCAAAAACCAAAAACACAAAAAAAAAAAAAAAAAGTTGAAATGGTGACAAGAATTCAGAACTTAAAAATATAAATTAAAAATAGATGGGCATTCACTTCGTCCGTACATTACTAAACACATAAATGTATGTGCCTTTCAATTTATAAGGTCTAACTTTAAAAAAAAAAAATGAAGGAAGAAGAAAAATACCCAAAATTCCTACAATCATCTCCGCCGAATTAAATTAGGGATTGCTCATAGATTCCCTCGGAGAAACAATCTGAACCAAACACCAGCGTTATGGACCTTCCCTATGCTCAGAAACGAAAATACTTCTCATCTCCCCTACCGCCGTCGTTTCCACCCGCCGCCGCCCCATAGACCTCTCACTCCTCCAGAAATTCCAGCAATATCTCCGATGCATCAGATGGTGTCGTCGGAGAAAGGTGCAAATATTTCATATGGAGAAGAGAGGTGAAGAAGAATTCAAACGAGAGAGAGAAGGTCGGCGGTTGTGAGTTAAACGTAGGTCTAGGGCATATATGGATTGAAACTTAAAGGGTAAAATAGGTATTTCAAGTTGCCCAGTGGGGTCTAACTAATTAACATTAGAATTTGGGTTTTTGACAAGAACAAAAAAAAAACATTAGACCTCCTCATATATATTCTCAAAACTAGGGGTATCACTCATTTCCCCAAAGCATTAATGGTTGGAGAAAGAATTAAAGTCCCCCATCCCAGCATTTAATGCTCTTAAATGCCCATCGCCTTAAAGGCCCATCAAAGCATTAAATGCTCATAAAGGCAACATTAAGAATAGCTCGCCCCCAAGAAAGTGGAACGTCGCTAGCACAAACTGGTACCTCGTCTAGGAAGTTACCTTGGCAGGAAGCAACTTTACCTTGCTAGGAGGGAAAATGGAGAACTGATGTGAAGAGACAGGTGTCAGGCTAGTGTAGGAAGTCGGCTATAGGCTTAAGAATATATATATATATATATATATATATATATATATATATATATATATATATATATATATATATATATATATATATATAACAAATCTACTCCCCTTATGTTTGTAAGAAGCTAGGTCATCATAAATACAACAAATATTCTCTTAAAAACTAGTCTTCTTTCTTATTATTTTATAAAAGCTTATAATTAATATAAGTAGTTTGGCTTGTATAAAACCATAATTAATTGTAGGAATTGTTAGATCCCATCAAATGACGTTGTCTGTGGGAAACTTTGTGTTATAGGCGTGAGTTGTTTGTGATTTTATTTCTCTACTCATTTTTATTTTTCTCGGTTATTTCATGTTATACAGATTTTTCCGAAAAGTGTAATGGCTGTTGAGAATGAGAATTTGGAGGCCCGCTGCTGCCTGCAACACTGCTAGTTCACGTGGCTCCGATGGGCGAGACCTCGGGAGCGCCATTGTCTCTCACGTTGGAGGAAGTGCAAAGGATAGTTGATCAGGCGATAAAACAAGACCGGGCGAGCAAGATTTTTGTTAAGCCTCGCCTTCTCCAAAGTTCGATAAGGGCTGCAGTAATTCCGAGGAGGATAATACAAGCGGAGAGCCCCTTGGTGGCATCCCCACCCTTTCCGGAAGTGCAAGAACGAGGTAACTCGTTCTCTAGCGATATTACGGCAAGCGACCTACCGAGAGGATTTCAAGCCTTGGAGCGTCTCGCTTATGACAGCACGACAGACCCTTGGGACCATGTGAGTAGGTTCCAGACTACCGCATACTTGCATCGATTCTCGGATGGGATTAAATGCCAAGCTCTCGCCACTATGTTGCGGGAGTCCGCTCAATTATGGTTTGATCAGTTGCTTGAAGGGTCCGTGAAAAACTTTGAAATGTTCAGCTCCATGTTGCTGGACCATTTTGTGAGCTCCAAAAAGCAGAAGAAGTCTGCCCTGACTCTGTTTAGTGTTAAACAAGAAGGTCGAGACCCTTAAGGAGCTTCGTCCGACGATTCACAAGTGCTACTTTGGAGGTACCGGGCCTCTCGTAAGATGTCCTCGCAAATGTCCTGATGCAAGGATTAAAGGATGGTGAACTCTATAGGTGGCTGGCAAAGAGACCGCCCACGACGTATGACGAGCTACTGAAGCGGGCAGAAAAATACATAACCATGGAAGAGGCAATGAAGATGAAGGATGATGAAGAGGAGTTCGTGCCAGCGCGACGAGGTGCCTGACGGTCCGCTCTGCAGGATAGAACTCACCCCAGCTCAGTCGGCAGGGCGAGATTATCGAAAGCCTCACTACACTACCTACGCGATACTGAATAAGATACCCTCATAAATATTGATGGGGATATAAGGAGGATCAAACATACGATGGCCAGACACATACAAAAAAGGGCCCACAGGACACGCCGATGAAAGGGGATACTGTCGATACCACAACGGATACATGCACTCATCTAAGGGACGAGTTGGAAAGATTAGCAAGGGAGAACAGACTAAGAAACTTTTTGGCAAAAACGTGGGACGAGGTTCGCAGAACGCACTCGGACGCACGGCAACCTCGATCCCCGGATAGACCTGTAGGATGGAACCACATCCGGATGATAGTGGGGGACCAACAGATGTCAATTCACATCCTGATCGGAAGAAATATTCCCGATCAATTACGACATCCTCTCAAGAGGGAGAGAGAGTTCACCTAGTTCAAGATAGCTCGCCTGCAATCGTGTTTAGGGACGAGGATAAGCAAGGTGTAATCCTCCATCATAATGATGCATTGGTCATAACCGGCCATATTGCGGGATACGACGTCTCGCGAATATTTTTTGACAATTGAAGCTCCGTGGATATCTTATACAAAGACTGTTTGGATCTGTTGCGATTGGGAGATGTGCCGATAACCCAGGTGCAAACCCCTGTATATGGATTTTCAGGCGAGATGGCTGAAAACATAGGCGAGGTATTCAGAGAATTAGATCGGTTCTATTAAGGACAGGTCGTATTGATAACCAAGAAAACTCTGGAGAAGAAGCAAGCTTCAACGCTCCCCTAGACAACAGAGCCATCATTGTGGGGAGGGTAAAGAGCATCCAACGCAAATCGGCATTTCATTCCCTTGTTTCGTCGTGACCCCCCCCCCCCCCCCCGGCTCAGGGGGGACCTGAAAAGGCCTTTTGTATCCCTCCAGATTACGTTGGGCACCAGGCCCCTTGTCCAGACACACACGATCCAATTCTTGGTAATGGATACCCCATCCACCTATAATGTCATTCTAGGGAGACCCACCCTCAACAAATTCGAAGCCATTCCATCTACTGTCCATACGAAATTGAAGTTTCCCGTAGGAAGGGACGTAAGAGAGGTTAAAGGAGACCATGAAGACTCTAGGAAATGTTATGTGGATGGAGTACACAAGGCTAGTAGGAAGCGAGAAGAACTGATGAACACGTTGGGAGGTGTGCGAGAAAGCATTGATCCTGACACGAAGAAGCCCCGAGTAATGCCTGCAGAAGAGTTACTAATCGTTCAGTTGAAACCTAGCCAACCAGGTCATATCACCAGAATAGGAAGCGGCATGGGCGAGGCCCTCACCGAAGAGCTGATTCAATTCTTAAGAAAGAATTGCGGCGTCTTTTCATGGACACCAGAGGACCTGAGAGGAATCAACACGGGGTTTGCTCAACACTGATTGAGTCTTCGTCCCCAAGCTCGACCAGTCACATAGAAAAGACGACACTTTGGCGCCGAGAAGGATGAGATCATAGCGACAGAGGTGGATAGGTTATTAAAAGCGGGGGACATTAAGGAAATCCAATTCCCAAATTGGTTGTCAAATGCGGTATTGGTTAAGAAACCGGTGGGCAAATGGAGAATGTGTGTGGACTTTCGGGACATCAACAAAGCTTGTCCGAAGGATCATTATCCCTTGTGAAGGATTGCACAGTGTTTACGTCGGTGTTCAATTTAACTGGAATGCAATCGATGTAGGAGAGATATCCCGTCATTTCTCCGATTTTCGCACAGATGTCTTCCAGAGTCATCCCTATCTCGTCCAAGTACTCACGACGCTCAATAGAGCCGAGTCTCTGCATTTCTTACTTTGTTCCAATTGTGCTTTTTTCCCCACCTCGTCTTTCAATCTTTAGATATACTAAGTTATTGCCTACCATATTAAGTAAATAACACGAGTTATTAACATGTTTAATTGATGACATTCTAATGATATCTTTTTTCTTTTGCTTTTACGCGAAAGGTCACTTTGCACCCCTAGATTATGGGGTGTGTTGCAAACACACCCCCGACTTATTTGATAGATTTTCTTTTTTTAGAACCAATGATACAAGTGTAGAACAAGCAACTCATCATTTATATTTGAGTTGTTGAATTGAGCAAATCTTAGAATAAATTGTAAATTCAATTTTAGAAATGCATAAAATTATAATCAATAATTAAATCACCTCAAATTACGTCGTAAGCTAAGGTTCATACTCTACTTGACCAATCTAACCATTTAGACCATAAAATAAAATCAGACTCTAATCGTCGCCGGAAACGTGGACACAATATAATCGTAATTCATAATAATGGTCTTTTAGTAATCATTTTTCAAAAACAAAAAAGAAATTGTAACATCCCGCATTTTCATACGCATTTATATATGATTATATTGAACATATGGTAACTACGAATATACGTGCATTTCATGAATCGAGTAGCAATTTATACGTTATCTATGTGTTTATGTGATTTAGATACATTATAGTATTTTTAGAAGTAGACATTATTATTAATTGAGTAGTCGATTCTAATTATGTGATGTAATGAATTATGCGCTTATAGTTAATTAATCTAATATATGATTAGCAATTATCTGATTAAGTGCTTCATAAGTGTCTATGTGAATTATAATGTTTATTAGATGTTATAATGTGGTTGCTTGTTCAAATGTTTATAATAATTATGATTATATGATTAAAGGAATTATGTCCATGAATTTTAATGATGTGCTTTAATTGATAATTAATCTATTAGGATAATATGAGATTTAATAAGTTGTGACATGATAACTAATTTCTATTTGGCCTCATATTGAATTTATGTGAATTATATGGGTAAATGCTAATAATTAATAGTTATGTGACCGTATGTTTTGTGTGTGTGAATTATTCCCTAAATGTATTAATTAGAAAGGACTCCCCTCTTCTCTTCTATATTGCTAAGAAGCCCCCAAGGTATGTTCTCCCAAATTGCTAATAGAACCCCAATGTCTTTTATATTGCAAATAAGGGCCTCATCTCCCCTATAAATAAACCCCTCCTCTTCACATTTTCTTCACACCAAAACATCAGCCAAAAGGCCCTCTCCTCTCCCTCTCCTCTCCTCTCCTCTCCTCTCCCTCTCCATCGAGCAAAAACAGCCCCAAGAAGAATTCTCTTCTTGCACTTCAAGAAGCTCCCATCAAGCCCCTTCCTCTTCTCTCTTCAATCCCTCTCGAAAAGAGAAGCTCCCTCTTCTTCATTTCTGCTAAAAATCTTCAAGAAACAACCCCTTCACATCCTTCAAACCTCAGCCCCAAATCCATCCAAGAACATCCAAGCCAAACCCGCCGAAAAGTCACCGAGCTTTGGTTTTCTTACACCTTCATCTTCGATTTCTTACTCTTGGGTAAGGACCTTGGTATTTACTGAAATAATAAGCTAATTAAAATAAATTATATGTGTTTTAATGAATTTTATGTTTGAGGTTTTAATTTGGGCTTTAGAAGATAAAGTTCTTAATGAACACTAATTGAATTTCAGTTTCATAGCCTCTGTTTGTGTTGCATGTCTCATCGGGTAATTATTAAGATAAAATTATGAAATTTTGTGGTATTCTAGATCTTTCGGTTAGCTTCATGTTGATATAAATTAGGCATAAATCGGATTTATATTGAGTGAGTTATGAACCTTTTTCTGAATCTGCACAGTTTCGGAGTCATCCACGAGTTATGTGCTAAATAGAGTTTTATACTAATCTTATTGAGTTGATTCCAATTGAATATGATTATAAACTTATGAAACTGACTGTTCACAAAATTTGGTAGTGTTTAAGTAAAGGTATGAATTAATTGGTATTTTTAAAGTTACTGGATCTGTTCCGAATTTCTGCTTATGTTACTGCACTAAATTGATTATATCTCTTACATAGATAAGTTTCTTCATAAACTGTTTTAACCCTATAAACTAGACTTAGATATGAACATTTATTCCAAATTTCATCAGGTTTGGATCTACGGTTAAGGAGATATGAATTTCTGAAGTTATAGTGCCTAAACTGCCAGATCTGTTTTGATCAAAGATGTAGATATAGATCACTAATGAATTTTTCAGGTTCTCAGCCTCGGAGTTTACTGCATGTTTCACAGATGCCCTGTTTTCATAAAATCACGAAATTTCATGGGTAACTAGATCTTTCTGTCGTCTTTAAATTGATATATTTTAATCATCAATCGGATTTCAGATGATCAAGATATGAATTATTTACTAAACCTGCACAGTTTTTGAGTCAGCTGAGAAATTGCTTTTAAAATCGATGTTTTCCTGGTTTGATTTCCTTGATTCCACTTGGAATATATTTATAACTTATAAAACCAGTTTTCTGCAAAGTCTTACATTGTTTTAACAAAAGGGTGATTTATTGGGTATTTTTAAAGTGGCTGGTTCTGTTTCTGAAAGTGTGACCATACTATTCTACTGTTTTACTTATTTCTCTTAGGCTACTGGTTATTTTGGAAAACTGTTTTAATGGAGTCTTTACTACTGATATAGGAGTATTTTGTTAAAGTTTCATAATTTTTGAAGTTATGGTCTAAGAGAAATGTGTTTTTGAAGTTAAGGTGTCAAAACTATCCGATTTTCCTAAAAACGAATTTCTTTGAATTAAAGGGTCCTTTGTAAGCATGATTTAAACTCTTGAGACATGATTTAATATGGTAATGAATATAGATTATGATGTTACATCTAGAGAACCATTATTAGAGTACTTATAAGTAAGATACAAAGACTATAAGTTGTTCTTGAAACTTTCTATGTCCTAGTACCTCTACTAGATTTGATTTTCTATAGTCCTTTGAATAGGTATTATGTGAAATATTGAAATTCATGATGATTATTTGAATAATGTGTTTTACTCTTATGAGGTATAAGTATGTATATATAAAAGTATATGTATATGTATATCGATAGTTTAGACCTATGATGTTATAGGCGTACTCCCTTCGGGTTGAGGAAACTTATAGCCCATAGTTATAAATTAGAGTATATACGTATATGTATAAGTATATATATACGTATAAGTACCTATGTGTATATACGTGTAAAAGTATATGTGTTTTTATTACTAATGTTTGATCTCTATGTGCTTACTATAGTCTCGGAAATTACTTCCGAATTATGTGATTTAATTCCTTCGAATTACGTGAATGATATAATTGGAATTATTATCGTGTTGCTATTAAGATCTTGGACTTTCGTGCATTCATCGAGTCATTAATTGGTATTGCATGGTCTACTAAAGAAAAGTCAAAGTTGTAACGTTGCTACGGTTGAATAGACACGGGATACGGGGGGCCGGTATCCCAACAACAGTTACTATAGAACAACAGGGTGGTTAGCTCCCACCGAATGACCGGGCTCAGCATATAAACGTCTATTGCCGATGCTTACGTTAGGGATCCCAACAAGTGCATACTTGCATACGAAATAATATAGCATAATATAATTATGACGTAAAATAACATAGACGGAAAAGAACATAGACGAATACTTTAGGACTCCCATAGGTCGTGAGAGATGCGATGAGAGAGGCGTGAGTTCGTCAGACTAAGACTAACGTCCTTACTGAGCCAGTGGTTGGGCTCATGCTTTTATGCAAATTATCTTTTCAGGTTCTCCAAGCTATTTAGGAGGCCGGCGGAGTGGAGTTCGAGGAATCACGAGCTTTGGTGCCAGATTATTTTACTCGTATTTACCACGTCAACGCTTTATCGAAAAACTAATCAACATAGTATGATTTCATTTTGTACTCTGATTGGGGAACCCAGTCTATTAAACGGGGGTATCTTTAATAAAGTTTATTTCCTTCCGCTGTCTCACGAATGTTTTTTAAACCCCGATAATGTTTTATGTGGATTATTCCGCCACCTCGAGATTATTTTCAAAATCCCGTTCATGTTATGGTACACTCTCTATGAAAAACCTTAATTTCCGATTGTGGGTTAGATTTGAAGTAAAGGGACATGGTTCTTAAATTTTAAAGTGGTTTTTCTCAAAGTTCAAATTTGTTCCAAAAGTTTTTAATAAAGTCCGTGTTTTCTAAAATTTCTTTTAAATCATTGAGGGTGCTACAGAAATTGACAGAATTGCCAAGTAGGGGCTGGAAATTGGGTGTTCTTTAATTAGATTTGCCGGTACAAACCATGTCGATTCGAAAATTTGACACTTGTCGAATCTCGAATTCGGTAATTCGGTTTTTATTTTGGTGGTCTAAGGTAAATAACGTAATTAATTGTTATTTTTTGATAAAATTGGAAGTGTAAAAATGTAACATAATTCTATCACATCTCAATTAATAATAGTTCATTTGTTTTATCATAAATTTTAATAATAGTTCACTAATTAGTAGAAAATAATTGCAATCCAATTGCTCGGA